AAGAACTGGTATTTAAATATCTAAATGCTAACTGTAAAGAAACAGTGATAATCATATGATGAAACTATGTTTCTGATAACCTGAGACATTACAGATTAATATAACAAAGGGTTGAAACTAATACCAGCAAGTTAGCAAATTTCTGATAAGTGTTGTAGTTTTGCTAGTAAAACTAAGAAATCACAACTCCTTACTGTTCAGCATCTATACACCTGTGATATCTCAGTCATTTATGTTGCATGATTCGGAGTACAGAAGGTTAAAATAATGGTGATTAACAATATGTTTTTTATATGCTGATGCCATACCAGTTTTGTGATCCCTATTTGGGCTGTATGGCATACCCAGGCTAAGTATCAGGGAATGAGGATAGCAAAATCACAGTTTCAACTTGTTTGATTAGTTGCTAGGGTGTGTGCCAGCCAGATAGAATCACACCATTCAGCCTCTCAAGTGCAGTTTTGTGGGCAGTGTGGTTAAAAATACTGTGCTCAAGTGGTTAGAGGTACTAATAAAATATAAAAGTAGTGGGTACTATTGGCTTTGTCAGTTCAGGCACTTGTGATCTAGATACACCAGTTCCTGCTGCAGATCAAAGCTGAAGTCAATGAGGTTTTTTCACATTAATTTTCATTTAATGTTTTGTGAAAAACTATAACATTATAGGATAGTATACCACCTTTAATTATTTCTATAGGTTAAAATGTACTTTCTCACTTAAAAAGCCAAACTACTAACAATTTGGATTCGGGGATACACAAGCCAATCGGAAGAGCTCAAACATCCTGCCAAAATTCCATCTTTACCAGTCAATCATGTGAGAACTGGGATTTGCAACATTTAACACACCTGGTAGTTTAACACATCTTAAACTTTAATATTACAAGATAACACTCCACTTTTTAAAAATAAAAATACCAACAGTTCAAAACTTTATTCCTTACTTTCACAACTAAGTTTAGAATAACTGAATTCTAGACTTTACAAACCAACAACAACAGCTTAAAAGTCCTGCCACCATCTTTACAATCAATGAAATAAGAGCTTGGACTTGCAGCATTCACTAAACATAATAACCTGGTTCGCTACAGGATCTACAAAGTAAGCCAAAATTCACATTCAAATCTCACCAAGTGTCAGTTTTCACTTCTTAAGGAAAGTTATTATTTTCCTAAACTGAAAACAGATTTGTGATAGGTATTTACCACTCCTCACATGTATAGCTTTTCTCATTCAGTGCTGCCATCTATATGCAAAAACATTTTTCACATGTTACAAGCCTTGAACTCCCACGTTGCCCCACAATCAACATGGTTCAACTGCGTTTTGCATGTAAATCATCATGAGACAACCCTCCACTAATAGAAGTGCAACACACCCTCCTGACGTATCGATTTTACTGAACTTTCACTTTGAGATTATGCAGAAAAGAAAACACTGGTTTTCAGTGGCAAGAGAGAGTGGGAAGTGTGAGAGGAGGTAAGTACCTATTGGAAATCTATTTTCAGTATAGGAAAATAATAACTTCCAATGTGGTACATTATTTCAGCTCAAACATATAGCTAGAACCCCACATTGAATAGGTGGAGGGACCAGTGCAAGAGATAGAATAAGTATCCTTCAGAAGCATTTGAAGAACACTCATGAAGTGTGATCCCTGTTAGGAGAGGAACACACATGGGAGACTGCACTACTTCTACACCAGGTATACTCTGCACCAAGTGTGGAAATTGGTGTCACATATATGGGCAGAAAGTGGGAGGAGCACAACTAAAAAGGGAGAAAAACCAGTTGGGTTGGAATCCAAACCACGGTATACTGGAATCTCAATCCCATAGAAGAAAGACTGTAGAAGAACTATCTACTGACAAGAATGTGAAGAAAGCTAAAATGGATGTGCTCCAATGTGTACACTTGCTAGAGCACAGCAGACCATATGTGGCCAGTAAACTCTAATTGAAAACCAAGCAACATCAGGAACAGAACCTCTGACCCACAGTAGGAGGAGGGTCCACACCGTCTTTACCTCAAGTTAAATACAACAGAAGCATATATAGTGCAAACTGATCTACAAAATGGGCAAATGTGCCTAAATCCACAACCAACCACACATCTGGGAACCTGACATCTGAATGACAGTAGGAAGAGATGTGGCAGGTCATATCAAACTCAAATGCAATCACACTGGCACCCCACTGTACAATATCATCCTCAGACAGTGAACACACCCCAAGTTGTAGCATAAGAGGAAGAACCATCATCCTGGTCAACATTATCCTCAGTATAGAACTGCACAGAAGCTGGGCACAACATCAAACTCTGGGATCCACCGCACAGAGGTATAGTGAAGAACAGAAAACACAACCAATACATGTGTGAGGATTTATGTGGATTGATCCAGCTCTAATCTAAAATCACTCACTGGGAATCGACATCCAGGTGATGGTAGGATGAGGGATCCCAATCGAGGGTTGAACTGCAATGTAACGGACCTACTTCAAAACAACATCCTCCTCTGGATAGGACTGCACAAACACTGGAGTGCAATAACAACTTCCGGGTCCCACTGCTGGAAGTGGATTGCATCTCTAAAAATAAGCAACCTCACCCTTCAAATAGAACATCACAGAAGCTGCATGCAACCTCAACCTCCAGGACCCACCACACGGAGGTGGTGCATATTTATTAGTAGATATGCGAACATCATCCCCAGATAGGACCACAAAAAAGTTGGAGCTCAATACCACCCTCCTTGTCTCATTGCAAGAAAGTGGATTGTATCTACAAAATATAAGCATTCTCACCCTCTGGTTATAACAATGCAGAAGCTGGGCACAACATCAACCTCCCAGACCCACCACATGTAGGTAGAGCACATGATTGGACGATTGCACGTCATCTACAGCAGCAGAACACCACCACCCTACTCTCTAGTTAATGAAAGTGAACACATTCAGGAGGACTCCTCCATGGTCCACCACTCTGCAGTTTGGAACTGGAAAGTGGCAAGGAGTCCCATACCCCACTAAAAGAACAAGGGTATAAAATGCAGTGTAGAGTCAGGAGGAATGCCAACATCAAAGACAGTGCAATGAGTGACCACAAAAACCCTGTTTTGAAAAGCAGACTGCCTTTGATTTATCCAATCAAAGGGACAGCAGAAACAGCTATCCCCTTTTACTCTCCCCATGCAAGTCCAAGGGTTAATAAGGTCTGGAACAGACATATTAATGATGCAAATATATCACGATGAAAAACCTACTAATGATCTTGTGCAACACCCCATCTCAACAGTGTGTGTTATAGGCCATGAGTATACATCATAGCCTTACATTGTGGAGTTGAGATATAGAAAACATACCTGGACAAGCACTGCTCGCCACTGAACAGGGTCTGAATCCTAAATGGGACATGCCCTTGGATGGCATATATATATATAAAAGCTAGCTTACCCAGTTACAGTCGCACCAAACTTTGAAGGATGGCGGTACCCCAATGAAGATGAACATATGTGGTGGAGGCCACATGCCTGACTGAATAGTTTTCTCCAATGAAGCATGGAAGTGGGACTCTGGAAAATCTCCAAAAACAAACAGATGAAAAAATAGTTATCCAGAAGTCATGAAGATAATGGGAAGGTAAATGAACCTGTGAAAAGACAGCATCCTTCCCAATAAGATCCTCAAAACAACAAAACTACGTATGAAGGGATAGGGCCAAAGAGTACAAAAGCACCAATGAGAAGTAAGGAGGGAAAGTGTATCCCCCTGAAAAACCCTTAGGGGATCAGTGATGTACCTCAGAAAGGAGATGTATGTTGGACAAGTACTGTAGAAGAGCTGTAAAGGTAAGATAAGGTTGAAAAAATGGATAGGATTATCAGGGACAGCCCCCCACACACACACATGAGCAAAAGTGACACTAACTGCTGAGAGTTGATAAAAGGTTAATCAGCTTCTGATAAGCCAGAGCATAAAGATCAGAAGTCCATGGATGACGAGGCATGCTAACACCAGCTCTCAACTGAGAAGGGAATTGCTCATTATGAACCCAGATGTCAGGGGAAGGAAAAGTGAAAACAGAACACACCTGAGAAAAGCAGTTAGGCCTAGTAGATTTCATAGGAAATGGATGGGAAGGCATGGCATAGGTAGGAACAGGAAAAAATTAACTGTCATAATCTCCCTCATCATGAAAAGGTTTGCAAAATGCTGGAGGAACCCGAACATTGTTGGGAGAAAAAAAAAAGACACCTCATATAATAATCAATCTCTTGACAAATGATCGCTGAAATATCCTCACCTGAAGCCAGTAATAGCATTCAAAGTAGCGGTAATAATATCAGAAGTTGTAAAACAAAACTTCAGAATTCATCTTAAGCCATCAAGAAATTGAAAATGAGAAGAAAAAATCAATAAACAAAGGTAAGTTATCGTGGCAAACTACAACAGACAAAACTAACTGTAGCAAAAAATAATTCAAGTATTACACTACTTCACAAAAAATAAATAAATAAAATGAACATGCAAAAAGAACACAAGTGAAAAACATCTTCACTTGATCACTGCCTAATGAGAAGTGATAGTTTGGTAGAATCTAATAGAGGGAGTCACATGTGTCAGGAGGGTATGTCGCACTCTTATTGGTGGAGGGTTGTCGCATAATGATTTACGTGGGAGACACAGTTGAACCATGTTGATTATGGAGTATGTGGGAGCTCAAGGCTTGTGGTATGCAAACAAATTTTTGAATATAGAGGGCAGCACTGAAAGAAAACAGCTATACATATTAGAAGAGGTAATGTACTGTATTGGAATTTCTAATATTACTCAGAATAGTTTACCACCTTTAAACGTGGAAAATAAGGTACTTGACAAACAGAAGTGCTCCAACAACATAAAAAAAAACAAAGTATTACCCTAAGAAATTAATAGACATCAATACACTTCTTTACAGAAGGTTTGCTCAAGATTTAAACATTACCAGATTTGTTTAATTACCTATTGTAATCACCTTTTCCTAAATCAGGGTTTTGTATATGTTTAACAATTCATCATCAGGAAGACAACTGTTGGTGTTGATTCCATCCAAAACCTCTTATAAAAGATAAATGCAGTTTATTGTTTTATTGTTGAAAAACAATACCTGTAAAAGAAAAATTACTATAAAAAACTTGTAACCTAAAAACAAAATTCTGTCATATCCCTGATATTCCAGGCATACTGGGTTAAATTTAATTTTTTTTAGAAAACTGGTTATATAATGAGCACGCACACACCACAAAAAAATATATTTCCTCTTGAGATAAAAATAATTTTTATTTTTTAGGGTCTTTATAATATTCCTTAGAAAAAATATGTTTGTAGGTCACAAAAATCCATTTATTCTTCACCAACAATTACTTTACAGTTTATAAATAATTTATTTAAAAAAAGTGGCTAATGAGATACAAATGTTGAAATCCTCAAACATTTATACTTTATGGAATATGAAGAACAAGCTTCAGTAAAAGTTGCTTTCTTTGATATCTTAATAATAAAAACAAATTAGTAAAGTATGAAAACTGTCGATTATTGTTGATTAAATCACAATTTAAGAAATTTTCCGAAGTGATTTTTGATAAAAAAAATACTAGTATCCTACTAACAGGACAGACCTATAATTGCTATTATTGCTAATTCATTTCAGAAATATTTGTCACATTTGTAAAGTCATCAGGAATTTCTTCAGTGTGCAGTAATTTTTTGAATATGCAAGACATGTTGTCAGGTCAATAAGCTTTACTTTAAAACAATTAAATTTTTTTTTTTCAAATTATTTTTATCTTCAACAATATTATAATTTAAAGAAAGTTCTTCCTATTGTTTAATAAGCAGATCATAGTATTTTCCTTCATTAAAAAAAGGGTTAGTTGAGTAACCAGAACCAGATGATTATGTTTTTAGGCCTTAAGTTAATCATTAAAAAAAAACACACAAGGATCACACTGGATATGTAGAGATTATACCGGCACCTCTATTGTTGAGGGACTAAAAGATGGCTAAAGATCTAATCAACACTTTCAGTGGTGTTTTTGTTAATCTTTGGTCCTAAATTTTTTTTAATCAATCCCTTTAAAAAATTACTTTTAGTTCTTTTAGCAATTCAAGGTTCTGTTTTCACAAATACTTTACAGAAATCATCTATAAATGTACAGTACCTTAGTGAAAATAAATCTCTTATATCAGAAATTACACTAATGAAACATTTTTTATATTGCATGTATTTAATATTATTATTAATCAATGACAGCATAAAAATGATGTACTGAAACAAAATTTGTTTCCTAAATACTTACCTATTTAAAGTTCAATGTAAGTAATCCACACATCAGATTTTCTTTGGTCTAAGAATAAAAATCATACTCGTTAAATTTGAAGTTTGGAGCTAAGAAACTTTCAAACAGTCTCTTTTACTCTTAATGATAACTTTCTTAAGTTTGTTTTTATGTAACTTGAAGAACTTCAGGTTACTTCAATTAACTGCTAAATTTCATAACATTATTAGTTTGGAGTTTTACATTTTTGAAAGCTTCTTTCCTATCAGCATCATTAAACCAATATATCAACAGACTTAAAAAAAAAAACACAATAATAATCAGATTTTCCTTTTTTTCATCAAGAAACTCAACCACACTTTTAAACATTTTTACTTACCCTCATATTAAATGTAAGCATCCAGTCAGTTCTGACAAAAAATAAACATATTCCTGCACCTCATAAAACTACAACTGTGAAAAAATTAATTTGTATTTTTAATTATATCAGTTTTTGTTTGTATTAGCAGAAATACTGACTAATAAAAAATATGTTAGTCTAAAATTCAACCATCTTAATTTTAATTACTGTTTAACACACTTGAGTTACATTCATTTCTATTACCCATTAGGCAACTCTGATTATCAAATACATCATTCTGAAAAATTCTGCATTAAATACCAGTCTGGGCAATCCAGTGGAACCAACTAATATTTTAGAGAGGGCTCATCTCATTCATTCAGGTCTAAATAATTACACATGACACCACAGAATGTACTCATTACACCATATAATATGGTGTAATGAGCACATTTTGTGATGTCATATCTGTTGTTTTTGTTCCGATGTATGATATAGTGTAATGAATGTATTTTCTGATGTATGTCTGTTGTTTTTGTTGCTCCTGAGTGATGAAGGCTACATTACAACAAAAACATCACATACTGTATTCATTACACCATATCCTTCATTACAACAAAAACATCACATACTGTACTCATTACACCATATCCTTCATTACAACAAAAACATCACATACTGTACTCATTACACCATATCCTTCATTATAACAAAAACATCACATACTGTACTCATTACACCATATCCTTCATTACAACAAAAACATCACATACTGTACTCATTACACCATATCCTTCATTACAACAAAAACATCACATACTGTACTCATTATACCATATCCTTCATTACAACAAAAACAACAGACACAACATCACAGAATACACTCATTACAGCATATCCTTTATTACTCTGCAACACCACTGAATATTTGTACAAACTCATTCATCCAAAATGTGATTTTTTTTATCATCCAAATTAACTTCCAACAAAAATGTCTTAATCATTTCTCTTACTTGAATATTTCCTTTAATATCATATGATATT